CACCCTGGCTCAACATAAAAGAGTCCCCAGAGCCAGGGCGTGACAGTACCCCCCCCCAAAGGCGCGGACTGCGACCACGCCAACTAAACCCAACAGGGGAGGGGCCGGGTGGGCATTCCGCCTCGGAGGCGTATCCGGCTCCGGGCGTGACCACCACTCTCTCTCTCGCCCTCGTGGTCTGGCCCTGCTGGCCGGAGCTGGACTGAACACCGGTGGAGCGGATTGCTCTGGCTCCGGCGTGGAGCAGCTGACCGGTGCCGGACCAGGCACAGGTGGAACAGGCACGGACCGTGCCGGACAGACGACGCGCACCACTGGCTTGGTGCGGGGAGCGGGAACGGGCCGGACCAGGCTGGCGACGCGCACCACTGGCTTGGTGCGGGGAGCAGGAACGGGCCGGACCGGGCTGGCGACGCGCACCACTGGCTTGGTGCGGGGAGCAGGAACAGGCCGGACCGGGCTGGCGACGCGCACCACAGGCTTGGTGCGAGGGAGCAGGAACAGGCCGGACCGGGCTGGCGACGCGCACCACAGGGTTGGTGCAAGGGACAGGAACGGGCCGGACCAGGCTGACAACGCGCACAACAGGCTTGGTGCGGGGAGCAGGAACGGGCCGGACCGGGCTGGCGACGCGCACCACAGGCTTGGTGCGGGGAGCAGGAACGGGCCGGGCTGGACTGGGAACACGCACCATAGGCTTGGTGCGGGGAGCCGGAACGGGCCGGGCTGGACTGGGAACACACACCATAGGCTTGGTGCGGGGAGTTTGAACAGGCCGGGCTGGACTGGGAACACGCACCATAGGCTTGGTGCGGGGAGCCGGAACGGGCCGGGCCGGACTGTGGAGGCGGACTGGAGGTCTGGAGCGGAGAGCTGACACAACCCGTCCTGGCTGAATGCCTACTTCCACACAAAATATGTGTGAGGCATCAGCACAGGACGTACAGGGCTGTGCACTCGTACTGGCGCTACAGCACGTGGCACTGGTGCAGGATATACGGGACCGAGGAGGGGTACTGGAGGCCACGAGCGTTGAACCGGCACACTCCGTCCTGGCTGCATGCCCACCTTAGCACGACACGTTCGTGGTGCTAGCACAGGACGTACAGGACTGTGCCGGAACACTCGCGGCACAGTACGTGGCTCCGCATAACACCGAGCCTGCCCTTTTAGCCCCCCCCCAAAATGTTCTTGGGGCTGTCTCTCGGGCTTCCTCCTCGGCCGGTACCCACTGCGTTGCCGCTGCTCCTCTCTGTAGCGCGCCTCCACAGTCTCCTCCCAAGGACGCCGATCCATTCCGGCCTGGATCTCTTCCCAAGTCCAGGATCCCTTCCCGTCCAGGATCTCCTCCCAAGTCCAGGCTGTCTGTTCCTGGACACGCTGCTTGGTCCTCCTTTGGTGGGATCTTCTGTCACGATCGTTATAAGAAGTGACTGACCAACGCGCAGCGTGATATGCGTACATTCTTTATTTCTAGTACACACACGAACAAAAACAATAAACGATACGTGAAGTCCTGGGTTGAACACAAACCTTCCGGAACAAGATCCCACAATACAAAAGTGCCAACAGGCTGCCTAAGTATGGTTCCCAATCAGAGACAACGAGAATCAGCTGCCTCTGATTGGGAACCACCCTGGCCAACATAGAACTACAACGATCTAGAACAGAAACCTAGAAAACTACAACATAGAAACTAACACCCTGGCTCAATATAAAAGAGTCCCCAGAGCCAGGGCGTGACACAATGTGAACACGGCTTTACACTGTGTTTCCCAACTCCAATCCTCGAGTACCCCCAACAGTAAAATGTTTTGCCCTGGACACCTGATTCAACTTGTCAACTAATCATCAAGCCCTCAATGAGTTGAATCAGGTGAGTACAACAATAATGTGTGAAGTTGGGGGTACTCGAGGAGTTGGGAAACATTGTGTTAGAATGTTATGTTGGAATGCAGTGTATATGACAGGATTCAAGACAATAATTTTATATTTAACAATATAACATATATCAATATAATCACTTAAAACCACTACAAACCACTACTTCACAGCCTTTATAGATGGTGTCTAGTTACACTATTTATGTAAAATATGTATTGGTTAGTGGCTGCTGAGGGTTGTCGAGGGCATCAGCAATTGTCCAATTGCTAAAAGGCTGGATTTTTTTCTAATAACCAATTGCATAATTTCTATAACATTTGTCAACCAACCACTTAACTAATAGCTATGAAATGATTAGGTAACATATTTCATTAAATAACTTGTAAGGTTAGAGAGCATAATTTTCATGGTCAGGGATCGAATAGATTATAATCACCAATCTTCCTTTTTAGAGATAATTTGCATTTACCTACTGATATAGGATCTTAATTTGACCAGTTTTTCACAGCAGGAATATAATCCTGCAACAGAAAATGTGAATTATTGTGTGGATTATGATTAATGAAAATGTTTGCAGGAGTTGATACATTTTCAGTAAGGGCAAATCTTTTTAAACCTTGAATACACTACAAGTTTGCATGTACTGCTGTGCAGGAAATGTCCTGCAACAACAAGGTATTCAAATTAAGATCCTTCATCTGTATGTCTTTGTGTTAACTTGCACACCTTTAATTTGAGCATGCTGAGTACTGCTATACAACATACTATTACAGGTGGCAAATAAACCAATATGCTACCAGATTTGGATCTCTTGGACTTGTATTATTTCCCAGTATGACCAATTGTAACATTGTTGTTTCAATGATGAGTCAATCTAGGTAAATCATTAGGTCTGATGGCAAAAATTAACCAAAACCCATGTTTCTTAAGATTAAATCCACCCAATAGAATGTTCCATTGTTGTTTGAGACAGTCATTTTCATTGAGCATGTGAACATTCCAACATGTCTCAACATTCATTTATCAGCCTGCAAACATTATATAGCATAGACTTCCATACAACAAGATATATAGCTAATGTTGTGAAAAACATAGAAAGCTACTTTTTTGGAGATGCTATCATATATCAATTTGATCATGGGCTTTTGGGGAACAATTTAATTCCATTAAACCAACCCCAAAGTGGACCAATTTATCTGCTGGCCAATTTCCTGCATAGTGCTGGAATTCAGTCAACCAATATTCTAGTTGGTGGGCTTGCTTGAGTCAGGATGATTTCACCGCTGGAAACCAAAGTAGACTCGCTACTGGTGATCTTCTTAACTGCATCTGCAATGTCTCTCCCTGGAAAGGAAATTGTATGTGGTCAGTTGCAGAGAGAGGGACGAGACTTAAACTGTAAGGAAGGGTAGAGGGGAAGGAAACCATTTTCTAGAATGGAATGCAGCCAACAGAGAAAAGTAACTCACTCTTTCTGAAGCATCTTGGTTCACAGTACCAGTTTTCCTGGTATGGCTGGCACACATCTGTATTACAATGGATGAACACCTGCAAGAAACATTACATACAAGTTTTTTTTAAGGAGGTAATACTTATTTATCTAGTTAGATAATTATTACCCAAGAATAACTTATAATAGTTATATTTATATTTATACAAACTATACTACTAGAAAGTACCAATTGTGACGAAGAAGCAAGCCAAAATAATTGTGTTAAATAATTTTTAGTAATTACCAGAAAGTAGCAATAATTTCACAAATACCAATTGTAATAGGACAGTGAAAAAAGCGTTACTGAAAAATATAATGTACGAATAAATTACTTATTCTATTTCGTGCATTTATTTGAATGCATTAAATAAACAGTGTTAGCATGGTAATCAACAACATCAATGGAGTTGTTCCAACCATTTTCTTCAGCAGAATTAGAACACAGTCATACCCACAGAATTAACACTCAACACTTGTGGGAATTGGCCAAAGAAATATGAGAAGAATATGCATAACCATGGTAGCAATGAAATGGATCACTTTAAAGATTATGGGGAAATGATCCAACAAAGGTGAGGACACAACAGTTCACCTGACACAAGACAAGATTAAATCCAAACATCACACTGTTGATTTTATGTGCATTTTACATTAACTGTACTTTTCGCAGCATTTGTTGATAACGAAATCTGGAAATACTCTGTATACATTCAATAACAGAAGAATTTTCCAGGAAAAGTTGGGGTACGTGCAACATAAGACCAAGAAATGTGAAGCATTTTAGTGAGGGGTCTAACTGGTGTCTCCAAGGGGCCACACACCTCTCCAAAGTGTGCACAGTTCCTAAGTCATTTCAATGCACTTTTATGAAGGAAAGCGCCTTTAACTATTAGGAGTTTTTTTTGCTCTCCAAGCTGTGCCATTGAGGAACTGAAGCAAGCACACTTGTAGTTCTGTTTGGAACACAGCCCTGCATCCCCACCATGAAACAATTACTCTTTGTTGTTTACGCAATTCAAAAACGGTCCATTATAAATCTCAATCAGGGTCAGGAGGACATCATTTCAAAGCTTATTTTGCCATGGGGCAGAGAGAAAAATTTGCTGTTTTACAGCTCATCTCATGGTATTCTTCACATTTTGCCATTAGGATGAGAGGGGGGGCCTCGACCTCGAGGGGGCCCCAAACCCCCCAAAATGTAAATAAAAATGAGCGGGATAAATCAACCTGTTCATGTCCCCCCGTCCCCCATGGCAATTTTGCCTATGGATTAAAGCGCCATTTATTATAATCCTCAATGTCTCATCTTTCAGAACACATCGAGTCATTTTGATTTACAGCATTCCCTCCACATAAACAACACAAAATGTGCAAAAGTAGCCCAAATAGCGGGAGGGATGGGGGCATCATCTTGCTGCGTGTGGTGGTCACGTTTAGAGTGTCTGTCAGTTGAATCCCATACATCGCTGTAAAGCTCTGATGTAATGTATAGCATGTTACTGCTGTTCCAAGGCGCTTATCAGTGACCAAATCTGCCATTTATATGCTGTATTCGGGCTGTCAGGACTACAGGTTAAATAGAACAATATATCTATAAATATGAAACATATACGTATTTCCATGGTCATACCCTCTCCCTCAGGGGGGACATAGATGTTGGATCTACAAAGGTGAACATCTTGAGGACGAAGCGCCTGTAGTGGGTTGGGAAGGACAGACCAGAGGAGGCTTCCACAGGGATGGGCATGGTCAGATAACGGTCATCCTTGTAGGGACATCTAAAGATCCGAACGAAGAAAGAAAGACAAAGAGAGACAGACACACAGAGAGAGAGACATACAGTAGACAGACAGACAATGTCATGGTCATTCAAGTGTCTTTCTGTCTGCGCCGAGGTGGGCTACAGCCATGCTACAACTTTCAATTAGCCGTTTACACCAGCAATGGCAAATAACCTGATCAAGGCTATGAGATGAAACGCGTTGGTTTTGACAATAAAGAGGTACAGTATTTTTGAAGTGATGTTCTCCTAGAGCTGCTGAACATTTTCCTAATCTTTACAAGAAATGGCATAAAATAAATTGGACGTACAGTTATTCTTCTTCTACTTTACTACTACTTATTCAGATATTTACCCATAAATGATAAGGTCCCACTGGGGCAGACTGAGAGGGTCGGGGGTTGTGGTGGCCCAGCAGCGACCCAGGGTCAGCACAATGTTGGGATCTGTCCTCTCCAGGATGCGAACCTCAGCGTACACGGGATCCCTGAGGACCTTGGTGACAGGGTAGTCTGCCTCTGTGTAGTAAGAGACGTAGGCTGCCTCCTCTGTTTCAAAAGAAAGATTAATTCATTCGCACATTTATTAATCCAACAAACCAATCACTGAATATAGTGCCACTTGCCTTCATTACAACCCTTAGAGAGGCATATTCCATTGGCCAGTCTGAGCTCAACTCTGAGGGGTCCAGGAGCTGGTAGAAGAATTGGGGGAGGCACCTGCTTCACCTCAATCACCAGAGCCTCAATCACAATGCCCCTATATCTGCACTGGAATATTACACTGGGAAGAAAGGGAGTGTGGTCAGACATCTTGACATCTCGACTTTAAAGCCGGCCATATAAGGCAACTAGCTCTCACAGTCTCACGCCAGAAATAGACATTCATCCATGTTTCTCAAACATCACATTTCGAAGTTGTTGCAAACATCAAATTTTGAAGTGTTTAAGGTAAAGTGTAGGCATTAACTCTGAAATCTTAAGGTTAGGCATTAACTCCAAATGGTTAAGTTAAGGGTTAAGGTTTGGTACAGGCTTAAAACAAAAATTTCAAAAACAACTTTCTATCGCTGGATTCGAACATGCAACCATTGGCCCTTTGGAATCTGAGGCAGATGCTTACGACTATCCACCATCCCCGTCCATGACAAGCAAAACTGAAATCTACTTGAAGGTAACAGCGCTCAATGTAGCCCCTAGTGGATGGTTTCCACGTCATCTCCCGACGTCCTCAGACATGGATGGACATCGAATACTGACTTGTATCAGGGGTGACCTGGCTGTTCAATGTGTAGGAGGCGTTTTGGCTTGCCTATATGTCATTTAATGGAATGGCACCTGGGGGGAATGGCGGCCGTTTTTTTTGTGTATTTTTTTGCGCTGTTCTTAACTTTTCTGTATTTAATGTTTCGACCATGACCGAAAAAAGCTTCTGGACATCAGAATATCTATCACTAACCTCGATTTGGACGAGGACTTCTACTTCAATGAGTCGGAGGCGAAAGACATATTGATTATCCCGAACCAGGCCCTAATCCCCGACACTCGAAGGAGGCGAAGACAACACTATAGAGGCCACCACACGGGCACGCTGGTGAGACAATGGCGGCGAATGAATACGAATTGGTTGTTGAACATTGCTAGACAACCGTTTGCAGGTCTTGCCATAGATTTTCAAGTAGATTTACGGCAAAACTGTAACTCCGTCACTCAAGTACATTCACTGTATTCTTGGTAAGCAACTCCAGTGTAGATTTGGCCTTGTGTTTTAGGTTATTGTCCTGCTGAAAGGTGAATTACTCTCCCAGTGTCTGGTGGAAAGCAGACTGAACCAGGTTTTCATCTTGGATTTTGCCTGTGCTTAGCTCCATTCAGTTTTTTTATCCTGAAAAACTCCCCAGTCCTTAACAATTACAAGCATACCCATGACATGATGCAGCCTCCACTATGCTTGAAAACATTAAGAGTGGTACTTATTAATGTGTTGTATTGGATTTTCCCCAAACATAACGCTTTGTAGTCAGGACAAAAAGTGAATTGCTTTGCCACTTTTTTTGCAGTGTTACTTAAGTGCCTTGTTATAAACAGGATGCATGTTTTGGAATATTTGTTATTCTGTACCAGCTTATTTCTTTTCACTCTGTCATTTAGGTTAGTATTGTGGATCAGTAGTGTCCGTTTTCTCATATCACAACCATCAAACTCTGCAACTGTTTTAAAATCACAATTGGCCTCATGGTGAAATCTCTGAGCGGTTTTTTCTTACTCTCCGGCGGAGTTAGGTAGGGCATCTTTATCTTTGTAGTGACTGGGTGTATTGATACACCATCCAAAGTGTAATTAATAACTTCACCATGCTCAAAGGGATATTCAGCGTGTACTTTTTAAAAATTTTCTACCAATAGGTGCCCTTCTTTGCGAGGCATTGAAAAACCTCCCTGGTCTTTGTGGTAGAATCTGTGTTTGAAATTCACAGAGATGCAGTAGTCATTCAAAAATCATGTTAACCACTATTATTGAACACAGAATCAGTCCATGCAATGTATTATACGATTTGTTAAGCACATTTTTACTCCTGAACTTATTTAGGCTTGCCATAACAAAGGGGTTGAATACTTATTGACTCAAGACATTTCAGATTTTAATATTTTTTTAATGTAAAAAGACTTCTACAAAGAAAATTCCACTTTGACATTATGGGGGTATTTTGTGTAGATCAGTGACACAAAATGTCAATTTAATCAATTTTAAATTCAGGCTGTAACACAACAAAATGTGGAAAAATTAAAGGGGTGTGAATACCTTCTGAAGGCATTGTAGAGACAAATTAAAAGTTTTAGCTTCACTGTCCAAATAAATACATAGGGGAGTGTACAGTATATGCAATAAATGTGAATATCACCCAAAGAAAGATCTCGTTAGGTATGCAAATTCTTGTGGATGTGTCATGAACTGCTCTCAACCTGTGGTCTCGTCTCATATGGACTCGCCGAAACATAAGGTGATGTACACAAATGCACACAGACCTCCCTCTCTCTCTCTCTCTCTCTCTCTCTCTCTCTCTCTCTCTCTCTCTCTCTCTCTCTCTCTCTCTCTCTCTCTCTCTCTCTCTCTCTCTCTCTCTCTCTCTCTCTCTCTCTCTTTCTCTCACACTCTCTCTCACACTCTCTCTTTCTCTCGCTCACACACGCACATACATACACACACACACACATACTGTACATCAACCTTGAATCAGGGGTAGACGTAACATAGTAAACAAAGATCCGGGACACCCAAATTAGTATGATATGTTTTGTGTTTGGTATTAGTTTGTGGATGTCCATCATCCATTTGGTATGATATGTTCCGAATTACAATTTGTATAATATGTTACGAATTACAATTTGTATTATATGCTACAAATTCCAATATGTTTTTACTAACTAGGTGGCTAACGCTACCATTAGCTAGGTGGCTAACATTCTCTAAGCTAGGGGTTAGGGTTAGGGATTAAGGTTAAGGTTGGGGTTAAGAAGGTTACGGTTAACGTTAGGGTTAGGAGTTAGGTTAAAGGGTTAAGGTAATGGTTAGGGAAAGGGTTAGCTAACATATTAAGTAGTTGCAAAGTAGCTAAAAAGCAGTAAGTAGTTGCAAAGTTGCTAATTAGCTAAAATGCTAAATTTGTCCACTGATTAGATTCGAACACACAACCTTTTGGTTGCTAGACGTTACTGATATATGCCCACCCATCCACTCCAACCATTTGACCCTTTATTGATTATTGTACTGCAATGTTGAGGGAGGTAGCACACCTGCTGCATAGCTGCTGTAAACTGTGTACGTGACACATTTTATTTTGACTAAAGATCCCATTACACATTTAAGAAGAACATTTGTGTTAACTCCAGTGTCTTGGCAAAATTCCCAACCTAGCCCAATATACAGTAAAATACATGACAGGGTTAAGCTTATTTTAGACTTCCCTAGGATATTGCTGTTATTATTATCATAATTATTGAAGATCACCTACTCATATTGGCTGTCCCTGGTGATGGTGCCGATGGGTCCAATCCCCACTACATATGAAGAGGACAACCTGTTCTCATAGAAAATAGTACCAGGTTCCTCCTGCAATAAACACAACTCTCTTATACAGCTCATCTTTAAGAGGCAAAATCATTATAGCTTTGACAAAGAGCTTTTGCCACAATGCGGCAACATCTTTAAACCTGAATAAACAATCAATGATATGATCATTGTTGCAACTAATATAGATGATGTGATCCACTTATTTGAAGGAGAGAGGAACTACTTCCCTGTACTTAGACTGAAGCCAAACACAGGTGATACGTACCGTCATGACAGTTCCACATTCAGTGACTTTGAACTGGTAGATGGCAAAGGCAGATGTGGTGCCGACAGGGGTGCAGTGATCTCCGTTTGCCCCTAGCAGGCTGATAGAATCTAGCTCCAGGTTGGGCAGAGTGGCATCCCTGGCAACCACCACCACAAACTGGCCATCCTTTGTACACTGGATAGTCACTGGTTACAAAGAGTATAGGAAGAACATGAAGTTAATTATAAAAAACCATGAAGCTCACAGAAAAGACTCAGAATGCCCATCATTGCGACATTTCAGATGTGATATTATAATGGATTAAAATTGTGACTAACTTAACAATGTTAATGGCTCTTTTTTTTCACAAGTATGTGGTACATTTTCAAAACTCTAACCACATTTTGAATTGACTGAGTACAACAAACAAATTCACAAAGTCACTTGTTCACTGCACCAAATCACTCTTTCAATTTGGATACATATCTGCTTTAAAAAATTCAATATTCACTTTACTTTTGATATGGTTTTATTGTCATTTGTTAACAATACAGTTAACTATCACTTAATCATGAATGTATACAGTTTGATAACTGCTGAACACTGTAAATGTGTATATATTTTCCTAATAATTTGACATATATTTATGTTAGAAGGTAAAACCAAATTATCTACAGATGTAGGATCTTAATTTGAGACAGTTTGCTACAACAGAAAAATAATCCTGCAGTAATAGGAAATGTGAATTATTATGTGGATTATTATTAATGGGAATTTTTTGTAGGGGTTGATAAATTTTTCTTTAGGGCAAATCACGTCTGACATTTTAAAGTGGAAATTACAAACTTTAGTAGCCTTTTTAAACCTTGAATACACTACAACTGGATGATCAAATTAAGATACGGCATCTGAATGGATGTGGCTGTAAATATTACGTCATCATTCTCCATCAGCCAGTGTGCTTCCATAGGACAAAGTGGAAAGAGTCACTTTATGTGTTACCATTTGGAATTATATTGTAGTGTACAATGCCTTGTTTAACTACCTGGGTTATATATAACAATACATTCCACTCATTATCTGAATTTCATTGATACACTCTAAGCTGATGAATTGCAAGCAGAGAGACAGGCAATACTGTATCAGTTGACAAGTCATGTAGAAAAGGTGATCTTGTACAAAGTTGCATGGGGCAGAAATGGCATACGACACCTTGCTACGTTTTTACAGTAGCCAACTCCTTTACAATACCCCTATTTCTTATGATTTGTCCTATATATGTGGGTCTTTCTATAAATAAAGGGGTCAATGTGTGATATCAGGGTCAACATTTCAAAATGGTTTGAAATACATTTAAATATGATTTTCTTGCAGCTCACATGTAGTCTAAATAGGCACGAGACCATAACTCCTAGCAAAAATCAAATATCTACATGTCATTCAAAATGTCACATGAAACATGGACACTGCATGTTTCTTTGTCATTTCCAGTAGCCTGGTCTGTTTGTGCTTTAGTCAAATTCTCTATCATTTATAGCCATGCTAACTCCCCCAAAAAAATAATTTCTATATATTTTTTAAAAGTTTATCTAATAATTTAATACAATAATATAATACAATGGGTTCTGTCAACAAAATCATTGACAATAATAAAAACCAAGAATGAAATCATTATAATCAGTAAACTCTTCAAGCAGTGTGTGTGTGTGTGTGTGTGTGTGTGTGAACACCAGACATCACATTCAGGCTTCCTCTGTCCTTGTTTCCTCCACTCCTTGCCTCTCCTTGAAAGTGCATTGGAGCCTGAGGGGAGGAACCTTCCCTCCTCTCCCCCAATGTGCTTTGAGAGGGAGGTGAGGAGTGGAGGAAACAACGGGAGAATCTCAAATCCATTTCCTTCGATTGGTGTGACCTCATTAGTTAGTATGTGTTACACCTGTGCTGGTTGCCATTTCGTTAATGCTGGCCCAGGTGCTATTGAAGAGTGGTTGGCCCAACGCTCCACTTGCCTTGATAGATGCGGAGGGTAAACACCTTTAGTTGCCGCTCCCTATTTTGATTTCTATAAAAAAAAATCCTTTGTCTGATTTCCATTCTTTCGTTTTGCACCACCTTTTTGGTTTGCTTCCTGACTTTAAGTTTGGTGTGGGTTTTTATTTTGTTTAGTGGGTGCTCATGATGGGTGTCTTTGTTGCTAGTCAACTTTCAGTGGACACACCCATGAGTGTCTTTCAGAATCCCTCCTAAAACCCCATCGGTTTTGTTCTGGTTGTTGGTCAGTGACTCTTTGTTAGTTCCCTGTCCTGTTTGAGCGACTCTATTTGGTTTTCTTGCTGGGGAATGTAACAGTTTTGAGGAGATGAGGAGAGAGGATGCAACAAATCAAGGAATGCAATTGAGATTCTCCCAAGGACAGAGGAAGCAAGTATTTGACAGCTAACATTTTTTGACAGTGCCTGACTGACTGAGCTACCTGTCACGATCGTCAGGGAGAGACCAAGGCGCAGCGTGATGAACAAACATACTATAATAGTTAAAGTTCAAACACAATACAAAACAAGAAACGACTCGTGACGTCCAACGGTATCAATGACCGAACACGGAACAAAAACCCACAAACACAAAGGGAAAACAGACTGTTTAAATATGGCTCCCAATCAGAGACAACCAGCCAACAGCTGACACTCGTTGCCTCTGATTGGGAGTCACTCAGGCAAAACATAGAAATAGACGAACTAGAACCCCCAACATAGAAACACACCACATAGAACAAACACACCCTGGCTCAACAACTAGAGTCCCATAGCCAGGGTGTGACAGTACCCCCCCCTAAAGGCGTGGACTGCGACCGCACCTCAAAAAGAGCAAAACAGGGGAGGGCTGGGTGGGCATACCTCCTCGGCGGCGGTTCTGGCTCCGGGCTTGCCCACCACCCTCCAACAAACCCCCCATAGCGCCCCTGGTCCGGTCTGGCCCCGCTGGCTAGAGCTGGACTGGACGTAGCAGGAGCGGTTAGCTTCAACTCCGTAGTGGAGCCGTTGACCGGTACCTGGTTAGGCACCGGTGACCCAGGCACGGGTTGTGCCGGACAGACGACGCGCACCCCTGGCTTGGTGCGTGAGGCAGGAAAGGACCGGACCTGGCTGACGATACGCACCCCTGGCTTGGTGCGTGGAGCAGCAACGGGCCTCACTGGACTGACGACTCGCACCCCTGGCTTGGTGCGAGTAGCAGGAACGGGCTGGACCAGGCTGACGACTCGCACCGTAGACTTGGTGCGAGTGGCAGGAACAGGCCGGGCCGGGCTGGCGACGCGCACCGTAGACTTGGTGCGAGTGGCAGGAACAGGCCGGGCCGGGCTGGCGACGCGCACCGTAGGCTTGGTGCGTGGAGCAGCAACGGGCCTTACCGGGCTGGCGATGCACACCGTAGGCTTGGTGCGAGGGGCAGGAACAGGCCGGGCCGGGCTGGCGACGCACACCGTAGGCTTGGTGCGGGGAGCAGGCACGGGCCGTGCCGGACTGACGAAGCGCACCACTGACTTGGTGCGGGGAGCAGGAACGGGCCGGACCGGGCTGACGAAGCGCACTACTGACTTGGTGCGGGGAGCAGGAACGGGCCGGACCGGGCTGACGAAGCGCACTACTGACTTGGTGCGGGGAGCAGGAACGGACCGGACCGGGCTGGTGAAGCGTACCACAGGCTCGATGCGGGGAGCAGGAACAGGCCGGACCGGGCTGGCGACGCGCACCACAGGCTCGATGAGAGGAACAGGAACAGACCGGACCGCACTGGGGACACACACCCCTGGCCCTACGCGGGGATCAGGAACGGGCCGGACCGGACTGGTAACACACCCCAGTACCTCTCGCCGTGCCTCCACACTTTCCTTCCCCTTAGTGACCAGTGGCCCCCTTAACATGGCGGCCTCCTCTGCCAACCCGCTGGACCGCTCTATCGCGGCCTCCTGCTGCCCCGACATCGTGAGCCCTCCCCCCTAAAAATTTTCTGGGGGTCTCTCCTCCCCATGGGCCAGGCCTCTATAGTTTTCGCCCAACTCTCGCTCTTCTGCCTCCAACTCCAGCCATTCTGCTCTTCATTAGGCTTGACCCAGTCGAGACTCTTCCTCCACTGTTCCCAAGTCCACCCTCTCTGCTCTTCACTCGGCTTAGCCCAGTCGAGACCCCTACTCCATCGATCCCAAGTCCTTCCTCTCTCCTCTTCACGCTGCTTGGTCCAGTTTTGGTGGGTTTTTCTGTCACGATCGTCAGGGAGAGACCAAGGCGCAGCGTGATGAACAAACATACTTTAATAGTTAAAGTTTAAACACAATACAAAACAAGAAACGACTCGTGACGTCCAACGGTATCAATGACCGAACACGGAACAAAAACCCACAAACACAAAGGGAAAACAGACAGTTTAAATATGGCTCCCAATCAGAGACAACCAGCCAACAGCTGACACTCGTTGCCTCTGATTGGGAGTCACTCAGGCAAAACATAGAAATAGACGAACTAGAACCCCCAACATAGAAACACACCACATAGAACAAACACACCCTGGCTCAACAACTAGAGTCCCATAGCCAGGGTGTGACACTACCATGATACCCATAGCCTGTCCAGAAACAGCCCCTACTGCCCAGAATCTAGACACTTGTGGAGATCTGAGAGGGATTGATGGGTGGTGACATGAAAGCTACACCTTACCCTCTGATAGGCTTGGTGGAATTTTGTCTGTATTGCTTACGCCTATCCTATTCTCTCAGATCTCCACAAGTGTCTAGAGGTAGGGCTAGGGGTTGTTTCTGGACAGGACCCACAACCCTTTAGGTGTGTGGTGGACCTACAGCATGACGCTTGAGGCATTGGTTGGATATTTAATTCCATTGCTATACACACACACAGATTTGCACAGGTGTAAGCTGGACACACCCACGACACCCTATCAGGCTGATCAGACAGGTCTGGGTAGCTGGAAACCTGCTGTAAACAGTGAAATGATATATTTACATGTCTACTATTCATACCCTTGCTTCATTCCAGCTAGTTAGATGTGCAACCACTGACTAACTATAGCTAAGGCATATCTCTAGTCTAGCAATAGATACTGTTGTTTTGGATGTATAGCATCATTTAATAAGATTACCAATAGTTAGCTAGGATATACACTACATGACAAAGTATGTGGACACCTGCTTG